TGCGTGTGTATGTGTGTGTGTGCATGTGTGTGTTTGTGTACGTTTTTGTGTGTGAGTGCATGTGTACGAGTATATGTGTGTGGCTGCATATCATGCTCTCTCTCTCTCTCTCTCTCTCTCTCTCTCTCTCTCTCTCTCTCTCTCTCTCTCTCTCTCTCTCTCTCTCTCTCTCTCTCTCTCTCTCTCTCTCTCTCTCTCTCTCTCTCTCTCTCTCTCTCTCTCTCTCTCTCTCTCTCTCTCTCTCTCTCTCTCTCTCTCTCTCTCTCTCTCTCTCTCTCTCTCTCTCTCTCTCTCTCTCTCTCTCTCTCCCTAACACATACACAAACACACACACAGATTTGAGGAGACACACACATACAAACATACACTAACATAGATGAGCAGACACACACCGACACATAAACATATAACACATAGATATACAAACAACACATACACACATGAGCAGACACACAGACATGAGCAGACACACACAAACACACATAGATATGAGCAGACACACACAAACACACATACATACACTGATATAGATGAGCAGACACACACCGACACATAGACATACACAAACACATAGATATGAGCAGACACACCCAAGCACACATACAAACATTCACTAACATAGATGAACAGAAACACACACCGACACACACACACATACACATATATGAGCAGACAAAAATACACATACAAACATACACTAACAAATATGAGCAGACACGCCCACCGACACATCGCACATATATGAGTAGACACGCCTAATACACATACAAACATACGCTAACATATCAGCAGAATCACACATCGACACACACACATACACGCACCCTTGGATTTAATATATATATATATATATATATATATATATATATAAATATATATATATATATTATATATATATATATACATTTTTTTTTTTTTTTTTTTTTTTTTGTATACTATAAATTACATCGATCTACGTTTCTTGTTCCTCCTTAGCATCAGGAATTAAATTTCTCGAGGTTTATGTCTACAGTAACCACTATAGATTACATAGTTTTTGTTGGTTTTTTTTCTCATTTAGGACAAATTATATAAATCAAATGTCCTCGCATTTTTTTTTTTTTTTTTTTTTTTTTTTTTTTTTTTTTTTTTTTACAAATCCGATCTGCGCTGGCGCCCGACGCTCCCTCGCCGACGCCCGACGGCGATCAGTGGCAGAGGCGCAGCATGTCTCGAGCGCCTCGGCGATCTCCTGGACCGTGGGGCGCTGGTCGTGCTCGGGGGCGCTGCGCTCGCTCCGCAGCGCGCCTGCAGGGCCGCCGGCGGCGCCTTCAGCATGCTCTCCGACACGAACTGCAGAATCACCCCCACGCTCACCACGTCGCACTTAGACGTCACCGCCGTGCCTTCGTGCACGCATGCGCAGTACCACGAGTGCCGTCCTTGGCTGCTCTTCGGGTGGCACTGGCCCACCGGCAGTGCCAGCCCGAAGTCGATCACGTGCACAGTCGGCGCTCCTCCTGCGCCGCGCAGCTGAACCATCACGTTGGTCGGCTTCAAGTCGCAGTGGACGATCCCGGCGGCGTGCACGGCCGCCACGGCCTCCACCAGCTTCAGGCTCACCTGGAGGAGCTGCTTCGGGCTACGCCGCGCACTCAGGACGTCGGCCAGGGTCTCCTTGCCCAGGTACGTCATGAGGAGCCGCGAGGGCTCCTCGCTGTACGCCAGGGGCACGGGCGCTCCTCCCGCGCCCTGCAATCGCTTCAGCATCTCCAACTCGTGCTGGAACGTCACCTGTGAGTCGGGGGCGGCCAGCTTGAGGGCGCACTCCTTCCCCTTGTAGCTCACGCGCACCACGCGCCCGTACGTGCCCCTCCGACGCGCACCTCCTTCCCCTTCTGCAGGAACTTCACTCTTGGCCGAAAGCTTGGCCAGCTACATCCCGCTGCTGCTTGACTGAGTCTGCGCTCGTCTGCTTGCGAAGTGTTGCTCGAAGCAGTGAGCCTCAAGAGGGAACTTTCGGCCCTTCGAGTTCGGGTAAAGAGCTTATCAAGAGGAGAAACTCGAAAACTAATTATTTTTTTTCTAGAAATTTATGCTGTCTTAATATAGTTCAGTTCGATTTCTTGCTTCTGAAAGTAAAAAATGTGAATAGGCAAAAACAAGTATTCTTCAAAAAATGTTGATCGCAGTTTCATTCCTGCCTACGTGCTTTTATTTGTCCCCTTCACAGGAGAGCGCGTTTGGTTCGGGAAGGACACCTTGTCGCAGTTTCATTTGCCTACGTGCTTTTTATTTTGTCCTTTTGTTTTGTTTTGTATTCTGCGAAGCGAGAGAGAGACGTTCATCGACAAGGGGAGACTTCCTCCCCGCCACGAACGACGAGGAAAAAGGAAATGTGGAACTCGGTCAGTCAATCGGAATTCATCGAAAAATCAATGTTTTACAGTGAGTTTACAATCCGTTTCGCTTTTACCGACTGGTTTAGTTTTGAGAGAGAGAGAGGGAGGCAGGGGGAGGG